TCCTGTGCAGTCTGCGAGCAAGTCAGGTTTTCCTTGGAGGAGGTTCAGTTTCGGTCTGCGGACGCTGCGGATTTCTTGTTGGTGGACAGCGACATCTCCCCTTTGGCCGCAGCTTGCTCGCAAGTCGGTTTTCGCGCTTGTGTCACACTCGTGCGGCGCGCGTTCGCGCTCGCTGGTGGGCGTATGTGAGCGTGTGAGGGTCCGTGCGAGTCTCTCTCTCTCTCTCCCTTTCTCTGTCTCTCTCTCTCTCTCTCTCTCTCTCTCTCTCTCTGTCTCTCTCTCTCTCTCTTTCTCTCTCGCTCTCTCTGTCTCTCTCTCTCTCTCTCTCTCTCTCTGTCTCTGTCTCTCTGACTATCTTTTTTTCTATTGCGCGTGGGTGTTTGTGCTTGTGTCTAGTTGTGTTTGTGTTTCGGTTTGCGTTTACGTTTGTGTGTGTGTGTGTGGCTGCGTGCAGATGTTTGCATTTGTTCGTGTCTGTGTGTGTGTGTGTGTCTGTGTGTGTGTGTGTGCGTGTGTGTCTGTGTCTGTGTCTGTGTTTCTGTTTGTGTTTGTGTTCGTGTTTGTGTCTGTGTCTGTGTTTGTGTTTGTGTTTGTGTTTGTGTTCGTGTTTGTGTTTGTGTTTGTGTTTTTGTGTTTGTGTTTGTGTGTGTGTGTGTGTGTTTGTGTGTGTGTTTGTGTGTGTGTGTGTGTGCGTGTGTGTGCGTGTGTGTGTGTGTGTGTGTCTGTGTTTGTGTTTGTGTTCGTGTTCGTGTCTGTGTCTGTGTCTGTGTTTGTGTTTGTGTTTGTGTTTGTGTTGGTGTTGGTGTTTGTGTTTGTGTTTGTGTTTGTGTTTGTGTTTGTGTTTGTGTGTGTGTTTGTGTGTGTGTGTGTGCGTGTGTGCGTGTGTGTGTGTGTGTGTGTGTGTCTGTCTGTGTGTCTGTGTGTGTGTGTGTGTTTGTGTGTGTGTCTCTGTGTGTGTGTGTGTGTGTGTTTGTGTGTGTGTGTGTGTCTGTGTGTGTGTGTGTGTGTCTGTGTGTCTGTGTGTGTGTGTGTGTGTCTGTGTCTCTGTGGTGTGGTTGCGCTCACCTGTCCTTTTCTGAGTCTGTGTTCTTGTAATCCAGGAGTTCATGCTTGCACCAACACAGCGATGTCAGTCTTCGGGGAGAACCGTCAAGACTCTGCGCTTCGAGATTAAGGGGAAGGTGGACCCGGACGTCCTGCGTGCCAAGAAGCAGAAGCTCTCGGAAGCATTGCAGCACTTGAGCAACAGCGCTGGTGCAGGAGAGGCAGACTGAGCGCCTATGCCGGTGGGAGGGGGTGCCTGTGGGGTCTAAGCTGGAGTCAACTCTGTCATGGAGACTTGTTGCAGGGAGTCAGACAGCTGGCCAGAGGAACAGTCCTCCCAAGCTTTCTTTTTTGAACTGGCCAGAGGCCACAGCACAGTAGCGCTTGCCAGAAGATCTACTTTCGACACGCATCACGCCGCTTCTAGCTGCTGAAACGAGTGCCAAATGACAGTCCTGCGACACTACCTCTCTGCGTGATCGTGTTCTGTGTACATCTGAACATGTTATTGCTCAGGTCACCTGTGCCCGGCGTGGCGTGCAGGAGCCACGCTTCCGACGGCCGTCGCAGAGGCTGGCTGGCAGCCTGGGACGCTCCCTGAAATTACCTCGGCGTATTTTGCAATTCTGGCGGGTAGTCTTACTCAGGGGGTTTCGCCCAATTACATGCGTAATGGTGTCCATGGTGGCTGAGCTAGCTGGGGCGTGTGTCTTCTCAGGATTACCCCACAGTCTCGCGCAAGACCCTGGGGTAATTTGCGGCTGGGCCAGGGGCAAAATTACCTTGCTTGGTCGACAGGACCGCGCGGCTCGAGCTGGCAGCAGAAAACGAAGTGGATATGTCTGACCAACAGCGTCGGCGTTTTGGCATCCTCCGGAGTGCTGTCCTGCGAGCCCGCAAGACATGGCTGGAGAAGAGCGAGCTGCCAGGACACACGTGGCCGGAAGGCCGTGTCTTTACATGTGCCACCGACTGCAGTGGCCTGGAGGCGCCACTCTTTGGGATGAAGCTCCTGGGATTGCAGTTCCGGCAATGGTGGGGAAGTGACATCGATGAGAACGCTCGTCGCTGGATACGTGCGCAAGGGATGTGCCCGCTGCTTTTCCACAATGCCATCGAACGACGCTTGCCAGAGCATGTGGAGCCATGTTGCTTGGACGGCTACTGGCTGGGCTTTCCCTGCCAGCCCTTCAGCGCTGCTTCAGTTCGTGCACGAGGATTCCAGGACAAAAGAACAGAAGTTCTCAGGGCTGGCCTCCGAGCCATGATGCACGCCCGGCCATTCTGGGCAGTGCTGGAGAACGTAAAGGGAATTGTCCGTGCCCGACACCAAAAGGGATTCAAGAAGATGCTCACGCAGGAAGGGATCACAGATCACTATGCAGTTGCCATCGCCAGGATTTGCCCGCACGCGAACCTGCGGGAGCCCATACGAAGACCTCGAGTTTTCTTTCTGTGCACTCGAAAAGACTGTGCTCTCACGGACGACCAGAATCTTGTGAAGGAGCTGCTTCAGAACGTGTGTGCTGAAGTGCAGGGGTCTTTGCCACCTGCTGAGTTGGAGGACTACTTGCGGGAGGTGGTCAAAAAGGAGGATGTCGGGAGGGAGAACAAGGGCAAGCAGGGGGCTCCAACTGAGAAGAAATGGGTGGAGCAGCATGGGCAGGTTCGCGAACAATTGGGCCTTCCATATCTTTCTGACATGACGGAGCTTTCGCGCAAGGCAAACCACCTTCCTGGCCTCACACTGCGGCAGCAAAGCCTGGTGGAGATCAAGACACACGGTCTCCAGAAGCACGACTATCCGGTCATCCTCGATGTCTCTCAGTCCTTGGGGCGTGCACCAATGCTGTCTGGAGTGTGCCCTTGCTTGACAAGAGGAGCGCAGCCTGTCATGATTTCTGGGGATGGTCGCGGTCGCCTTCTCAGCAGCCACGAATGCTTGGCGCTCATGGGCTTCCCCCTCAGCATGACGACAATGCCAACAAGTGTCGGGGATGCTGCTCTGCATGCCTTGGCCGGAAATTCGATGCACATCACCTCCATTGCCCTGGCGACCATGCTGGCAATAAGCCTTGTGAACTGGGAAGCCACAGGCAGGGGGGATGCACCTCCGGTCTTGCGGCGGCTTTCTTGCAAGACAAAGGTAACGACACCCTTGCAGCAGGTAACGCGGGAGGTTGAGAGTTCTGGCTCCATGGGGAAGAAGAAGCAGCGCATTGCCGGGAGGCCAAAGATCAAGCGCCGCCTGAGCGACATTTTCAGCCGGGTGCCAGCATCGTGTGCTGTGCGGAAACCGCGGCCGCGCAGAGCTCAGCACATCAGCTCCACCCCTGAGCGCAGAAGCAGCGCCAGCAGCGCGAGCATCAGAGCAAGGACTCCTGGGAAGGCAGTGGCTGCAAAGCAGCCCAAGAGGCGCCTCAGTGACATTTATGAGTCTTGATCTGAAGGATCTGACCCAGCTTGACACCTCTAATTACTGAATTACTTGCACCGAGCAGGATGCTCACGATTCAACGCAGTGCAAACAGGGACCAAAAATATGATGTCGTGAGCAGCCACAGAAGCCAGAGGAATGCATGATTGACAGTGTTGCGGAATCCACTCGTTGCCCGGGATTCTTGCTTGTGACTATGACCGTACTAAGTTACAGTTTAACTTCCTCCGAAACAAGTTACCTGAACCCATCGGCATCGCTTGTGGCAGGGTGTGGCGGCAGCCGTGGGACGGCCAAGGCAAGGAGTGTGAATCTGCTGAACGGACGCGTTTCTGCGTGCCTGTTGGTGTTTGTGCATGCTGTTCGGGTTTGGAACACACGCGGCTCCAGGCTCCGTGAAGGCAGACTCACCTCCCCGGAATGTAGCTCATCAGCTCAACCCAAAGCCCGAAAGCGTAAACCCCTGCGAAGCCCAAACCCTCACCTCCCCGGAATGTAGCTCATCAGCTCAACCCAAAGCCCGAAAGCGTAAACCCCTGCGAAGCCCAAACCCTACAATAATTGTTTCAAAGTTGTACTTTGCCGCCTGTGTGCGAAGATCTTAATGACATGATGAATGCACACACATATGCAGCCGCATGGAGTCTTTGTACGATCAGCGTGGACGAAATCACGCTGGCCAGAAGACGCGTGAGCAGGGGAGAGGCCACGCGACAGCCAAATCGTCAGGCACAGAGAGGAAGCGCAAGGCATCCTGCAGTGCGTCTGCGGGCAGCGCTAACAAAGGGGCGAAGAAGCATCAGTTGCTGCAGCAGCTGCCCAGGGAGGCCGCTGTGTGCAACCAGCAGCACAGTCGTGAACACCCCGACCCCGAGGAGTTCGCTAGTGTTTGCGCACGCTGCAGATGGACACTCCATCGCAAGACTTGGCAACAGCACTACGGTTCTGTAGCCCTTGGGGGAAAGCGCACGGTCTGGTTGGCAGAGGTTCCCCAGCGCTTGGCTGCCCTGGGAGGAACCTGGGGCATAGGCTGCGACCTATGTGCCAGCCTGCAGGCATGGCTCACTGCGATGGAGCGCGGCGACCGCAAAAGGGGGCAAGGGAGACTGGACACGAAATGGGGGAGGTATCAAATCAGTACGCTCTCTGCTATGCAGGCCTCCACCATCAGGCCGGACACCCGACACTGGAAAACATCCTGAGGTACTTGTCGTAAACATTTTGAACCATGAGTTAATCAAAACTGAAGTGTTCCCACTGAAGTGTCCCAACAGGGCCCATGCCAAGAGCGACGTGCACCGCACGGCTTTGTGGGCATTCCTGCACCCTGGGCGACCGCTGACAGCTGCAGCTCCGAGCCTCACTGAACGTTACTCGCCTTGTGGATTAGCAGGTGCTGGCAGGTTCCAGGTAAAGTAACAAGCAACATGGGTGTATTGTTTTCACGGTGCACATCTCTTCCCCTCGCCAGCCGCAGGGGAAGCTTTCCGGGGAGCTGTGCCACAGCTGGACGACTTTCTGCGTGTGTGGCGCTTGGCCGCCAGGAGCAACGTCTCAATGGCTGCAATCTCCGGGGTGACGTTCTCAGAGGCCTTCCTCGCGCAGAAGCGGGCCAAGCCTGCCGAGGTGACCCGCTGGGCCGTGACGAAGTTGGTGCAGGTAATGCGCGAGTTCATCCGCCGCAAGAAGGTGGAGACATTGCTCCGGGCCGAGAGCATGACGGTCATGATCGATGACAAGGAGTCGCACAGAGTGATCCTGTATCACTCCAACTTGTCGCACGAGCCATACGGGAAGGGCCTGCTTCGAGCCTTCCGTCCTGGTGCCAAGGAGGTGGTGTCCTACGAGGAGGACTACTCCATGCGCATGGCCAAGTCCGTGGAGGAGTCCCTCTTGTTTCTCAGCACGCCAGTGCATGGGGAGTGCAACCCCCACGTCTACGAGCACCTGCGCCAGATCACGAGGTTCTACACCAGCGACGGGCTTCCTGCAGCCCTCAAGTGCGGAGAACTCCTCACGCAGATGCTGCCAAATCTGACACTGGTTCACCGAGACACAGCGCATGCCGTGAGGCTAGGCGGAATAAGCGTGCATTCTCTGCTAGTAAAATAACATTACAGATTCGAACTCACAGAGCGTGTTGTGCAGGCTGGTCGCCAAGCGTCCGCTGGCCGCGGAGTCGGCCTGGAACGACATGCGGGAGGTGCTCTTTGGCTCGGGGGGCCTCATTCCGGACTTGATGAATAGTTGGGAGCTACGGTCGAAATTTCTCGCCGTGCAGAGGGATGCATCTAGACTGTGACACTTTGGCAGTATTTGTTTTCCAGGTTTTCGGATCCCTTGAGGGCCACTGCAACGCCCGAGTCCTAAGCCCTATACACGGCCACGTACCCCCTTGCCCCTGCCTCCCGAGGCTGCATCATGTGGGGAGTGGCAGAAGCCTCTAGAGGTGGCGCTGAAGCACCTCAGCTTCGCTCCCCAGCGCTGGGATTCGGAAGCGTCGCCACTGCCTCGCTTTGCTGCCACCCTGGTCCCCATTGCGTTGTTCCGGGCCATCCAGAGCCAGGACATGCGCAACTGAGTAGCTGGATGTGTACACTTTAAACTTGTTTGGATACGACTAACTGGAATCCCCTATCTAGAACTAAAAGTGCACTTTTTGGCAACTAAGGCAATAAGGCGCCCTTGCGCCTTAAGTGCTCCCGAACCCTAAGAAAGCTGGAGCCTTGCTTCTTGGTTGACGTGGGGCTGTGCGGGGACTGGTCGGCCGAATGGCTTCGTTTCCTTCGCGTCTTCGACCAAGAGGACCACGACCCAGCTCTGACCTGCAGACAGAAGGGGGAGTTTACCTCCAGGCGAACCATGTCGTGTAGATTTTTTGTGTGGTTCACTTTTCTTCAAAGTTCAAGAGGGCATTGTGAATCCACCGAAGTAATTGTACTCATAGGCTCCCGCTCTCTTCGCTCCATCGCAGGCTCTTGACCCTTTTCGTCAAGTGCCACATTCTGGACGACCCAGGGGAGGGGGAGGCCACGACGCTGACAAGACTCATCGTGCAGCAGGCCATGCAATGCCCTGGCATACGGTTTGGGGAGAGCTTGCACTACCTGTGGCCCGGGTCCGCAAAACACACCTTTGACAGGTGCATCCAGTCTCTGCACGCTGTCACGGACGTGGCCCTTCAGGATCTGGACGCAGAGGTGAATGGGTTTGTGCTGGACTTTTGTGTTTTCGATTTGAAGTCCTTCCACCAAGCGAAGCAAAAGCCTGGGGAGTGGGAGACCTACAAACGCCTGACCGACTTGCGGATTCGCCGCCTCGTGGAATCAGGCCTGAAAAAGTCAGCCTATACAAAGACTTTGCGCGAATGGTGGTGCGCAGCCCATTGCTTGCAGGAGGAGCTCGCCCCAAAGTTTGATGCTGGGGAAGAGGTCGACAACCGAACGGAATGGCGGAGAGTTTGGGAGGACAGCTTTGTCCAGAGAGCCACTTCCTGGAAGCGCTTCAATGCACTGCCATCATTTGTGAATTATTATCTGGGGTTTCGCGATTCCAGCACGGGGGTCGAAAGAGCTTTGGCTGTGGTGGAGCGATTGCGGCAGGCGCATCTGGGGCCTTTGGGACTCACGCTGCACGACCTGGCTGAAATTATTTTGGATGGGCCTCAATCAGAGACCGAGCTGGCCACCCGCCTAGGTCAGGATGGGGAGCACCCAGTCTTGCAGGCAACAGACATGTGCGTGGAGATGGTCAGCATTTGGCGCTCGCTCTTCGGCGCTCGTTTTCGACTCTACAAGCCCAGGGCTGACGCAGGCCGTGCTCGTGGCAAACGTTCTGGCACAGACGCAGACATCGTTCGACGAACCACTGCCGGGGCTAATCTGCTTGTCTGCAACGCTGGCAGGGTGGGCGAGGGAAGTGTGACGATCTTGGGCGTCAAGAGGAAAGATCTCCCTCGGCATGAGGAAGCCTATCAGAAGAACCCACAGTTCAACCAAGACCTGGAAGACTTGTACAACAGCGCTGCAGAGAAGAAACAAAAAAAGCTGGACATGCGCAACCAGCGACGAGATCACCCGGAGACATCTGTGTATCGACCCGGTCCCCTTCGCAAGGCCACACTGCTTGCAGACGCAACGCCGGCGCCCAGATCTGCAGCTTTCGACTACACGAGAAAGAGAGCCCCCAAGATCGTGGATCTTACCCTGACAGGCCCTTCTGTGCAGTGCGAGGCCGGAACAGTCATGAGGCCGGGCAATTCTCACAGCATGGGGGACATTCTGGCCTTTGTCCGGGGATGCGATTTGATCGTCGTGTCCAGTTTCAAGCATCTGCAGTGTTTGCCGAAGTTCAACGACATCCTGCGTCTCGGGTGCAGTTCACGCATTGCCACCAACATCGCATGTCATCTTCTGTCGGTTTAAGGTTTAAGGTTTCGGGTTTCAGGGTTTTTTTAGGGTGTTCAGGGTTTCAGGGTTTTAGGTTGTTCAGTGTTTTGAAGTATCAGGGTATTTAAAATAAAAGAGGGTTTTCAGGGTTTTGGGGGGTCAGGGTTGAGGGTGTGTTCCTCCCCTGACACTTGTAAGTCTAGGCCGCTCTTCCCGCTGGTGTACTTGGCAGCTGTCGGCTTGGGGAAGGACATCATCGAGAAAGAGACGTGGGGGAAGTCCGGCCCGGCCCAATGCCATGAGGCTGCTTTGAAGGATGCGCTCACGATCAAGTTCTCCAGTGCGTTCCGTGGGAAGCATGCGGCCAGCTGTGACTTCATACAGAAGCTCTGCGAGATGTGACTTGGAGGAATTCAGTCATTGTATTTTGTTCAACAATGAATGATAGTCTACTCAACTGTGCACATTGGCGCAGTTTTGCTGGTCCTCTCCCACACGGTGCCAGGCGGCAGAGCCAGTGGCGCATTGCAGACCCCGACTCCGAGAACACAGAGTGTGTGGATGTCGGGGACACGCGCCAGCTTTTCACCGTCGCGCAAAAGATGCGGCGCTTAGTTCGTTGTACAGGGGTGGCGCATCCATCTTTGAAGAGATGATGCAGGGGGTCTTCTTTCGACGCTTCAGTCATTAGAAGAAAAAATGTGTATTCCAGAATAACAGGGAAGCTTACTAAAGACGTAATACTGTTACTATTCCCTTCTCCCTTGTACGGAACGTACCCCGAATTATAAAAGCCGATTTTGCCTTTCAAGCCCTATTCCGAGCCTATGCCGGTGTAGGGGGAGGGGACAAGCCAAACCCCAACCCAAAAGATGGCACATGGACATTTCGAGTTTCTGTTGGGGGGGGGGGACAGACAGGGGAAGGAAGTAAGCTGCTGGATCCATGCGTGCACAGCTCCGTTGCCAGGTCATTCAGATTTCAGATCGTGGAGGCTCGCAGCACAGAATGGGAGAGAGAGACAGGGCAGGGCAGGGGGACACATCTTGTTGCCTGTGTTAGAGATTGGGCTGTGCGCGAGAAGCAGACATATGATTCGCAAGCATGTCTCGCAGCAGAGAATGGGAGAGAGTGGGATCATGATGCAATATTGAGGCTCAGTACCGAGTTGCAAAAGAGCGTGAGGGTGTTCAGCTTTCAACAACAACCTTCGACATCTGCTGAGCTAGGACGGGGCACGGCAGGGGAACACATCTTGTTGCCTGCGTTATAGATTGGGTTGTGTGCGACAAGCAGACTTGGTTCGCAAACATGTCGTTGGACACACGAACCACCGGCAAACAGACGCCAAAGGCGTCGGCGAAAGCGCCTGCGCCGGTGTCGCAAGGCCCGCCGTTCAAGCGGGGAAGCGAAGAGGCATCAGCGATCCCCACCGCCCCGCTGAAGGCACCGAGGTTGGACGACGCATCCTCTGCGGTGCGCCCTGGGAACAAGTTGACCCCACCCCAGCTGCCGGACGACGACGACTGTGGGGACGGATTTGAGGTGTTGCGGGAAGTCATTCCTTATGCGCCTGGGCATGCTTTCAGCACGTCATGAGCTGCGCGTTGCCATAGTCGTTGCTGTTGCCTGCTGGCATTCAGGTGAGGGCTGCTTTGGGGAAGGTCCTGCAGGAGGAGGGGCTCGCAGAGCCGGGCTGCACAAGCCTTTCAGACTATCTGCCTTTGGATGTGAGAGACTCGTCTGGGTCTAGGGCTCAGTGTTCGCTCTGAGTTTGCATGGATTTGTTGGGCATCGGTTCTGCTGTGTTTGCTTCCAGACAAGGTACAAAGAGGCATGGGACTGTCAGAACGCGTTGAACTCACTGACAAAGAACGGCATCTACGAAGCAGGGGCCGTCATGACGTGGTTGAACCCATTGGAGTCCCACAACCTGCCACTCGACCCTCCAAGCTTCAAGCAGATCGTTCGATCCGAGCAACGGCTGATTCCCACCGTCACCAAGGGTCAGGAACGGATTGTGTGGCCGGCAGCGTTGCACACGTATGTCTTCCATGATCACATCCCGCAGGGCTACCCCAAAAACATGTTCTTGGCCTCGGGCCACGCGTTGGCAGCAGCTTGGTGGGTGCCTGTGCTGCAAGGAGATAGCCTGAGGGATTCTTCTTCCGGAGGCAGTTTCTTCTCTTTAATAGCCTCCCCCATTGACTCTTTCTGTGGGCCCGGAATATAATTTAAGAGTCCCGGAACTCAATTATAAACGAAACCCTGGGTCCAGTGCCTTCTTTCACACAGCAATGCTGTTGAGCTTCATAGTAGTTGAGGTGTGTCCCTCAGCCCACTGCAACAGCCCGACCCCCCCCGAATGGTGGAGATGGGGGTTTTAAACGAAGTCAACATTAGATGGCTTGAAGGATTCCATGAAGATGAGGGTGTAGGGATGGGCTTAGGGCTTCGGGCTGAGGATGAGCACTGCGTCTGGTAAACAGGTTCCATTCTTGCGCGTGTTTGGGAAGGTTTTTTTTAAAAGTGTACTGTTGTTTTAGCTGTGCTGTCGCAAAGACCATGCTCAGGTAGCTATGTGCCGGTGCCTTCGGGAGGACAACATGAGCGGGTTGAAGCTTCTGTGGCTGGCAGGGAGGTCTGTGACTTTCACTTGCTATGTCATCAAAGACCCGAAGGAGCTGGTGTTCCGGTCTTTGTATGCTTCCGAGGATTATGCGGCGCTGGGGGAGCTGACGGACAGCTGGATACACTGGTCCGGGAAGGTGAACGCATTGTTGGCCGACATGGCCGGAAAGAAGAACCAGGAGCAGGAAACCTGGCTCAAGGAGAAGAAGATCGCCTTCAAAGGTGCCACGATGTCCAAGGGTCTGTTGAACGCGGTACTTTCAATGAAGCGCTTTCCGAAGGACTCATTGGTGACCCTCAGGAAGATCGAGAAGGAGTTTGGGGTGGAGGTTTTCAGTTCGGGCTACACGAAGTTGACCCGCATGTCGCAGCTTGCGTCGAGCCATCTCACCAATGTGGCAGCAGCTGTGCCTTGGACGCAAACACAGTGACGATGTTAGGGCTGAAGGGACTGTAGTACTTAGGCATGCTAGAGTGCGTCCCCGACCCGCAAGGCTGTGGAGGATGGCCTTGGATTTGTGGTGGACCTGGCTTACATGCAGCTGGTGACGAAAGCCACGGACCCGAGTTTCTACAGCAGCAAAAACTTGGAAGTCAAGGGCGACAACGCAGGGTGGTACCTCACCAGCCTCGGGAAGTACAACATGATTTCGCAGCTCTTGGTCATCGCGAATGGCATGGGTGATGCTGCGCGTCCATTGTTTGAGTCCTTGGCAAAGATTGCAAGACCCCTCGAGTTCTTGAAGATGCATCCGCCTGTCCAGGAGGACGCAGGGGAGGGGGACCATGACGATGGGGCGGACAAGGACACTGGCAATGCAGATGACAGTCTGGAGTGGCAGAATCTGCAGGGGGCTCACAAGAGGGTTTACCAGCTTGCTCGCGACCTCTACTCCTCCGAGTATGATGCGGACCTGATCAAGATGGCCAAGCCACTCGGCAGATCCAGCTCCAAAACCCCAGGTGTCCAAGATGAGCTATTCTTACTTCTCGCGTTGGCGAAAAGTGCACTAGTAGACATTGCCCATGAACCAGTGCAGTTGTCTGTCTCCTTTTTACGATTTTTTGGATTTCCGGGTTCTCTTGGCAGTGTCCCTATATAAGCAAGGGTCGCTGCGCAATATGCTGAGGAAGAATGTGCTGGAGGTCTTGTCGGACACTGAGTCCAACTTGAGCGGGCTGAACTTGCACAAGGAGTGGTCGGGCGCGTTGAAGGATCTGGAGCGATCTGCCACAGTCGTCCCCACCACAGAGAGTGCTGCCCCCAGCCTCAGCGTGCGCCAGCTGGTCCGCATGTCCAGCATGGGGAGGACGGCCCGTCCTCGCGCGGCCTTGTTTGCACAAATGTGGTTTGGTATTTGGGGTTCGGGTTTAGGGTTGAGGGTTGATAGGTTTTCGGCTAGGGTTTAGGGAACCCTATCTCTAAACCTAAACCCTAAACCCTTAACCCTAAACCAATCTGAGGCAGCAGGGCACAAGCCGAAAGGGAGGACCTCTGGAAACAGTCGCAAGCGCAGAGGCGCAAACTGGTGAACTTAGCAGTGGGGAGAACAGAAGCGGAGCTTTCTGCTGCATGGAACAAAGCAACGGCCGAGGCCGTGCGCTCCTGGGGGGGGACCCTCAATGAGTCCCACAGGCTGTTCGTGTACAGCGCGGATTTGGCAGAAGAAAGTCAAATCAGCCCGTGGACTACCCCGGGCTGCTTGGGGGGCACGAGGGACCTCCGCCTTCTTCCTTGTCCTCCTCGGCCTTCTTCGCGGCCTCGGCCTCCGCCTTCTTGTTGTCCTCCTCCGCCTTCTTCGCGGCCTCGGCCTCCGCCTTCTTCTTGTCCTCCTCCGCCTTCTTCGCGGCCGCCTTCTTCGCGGCCGCGGCCTCCGCCTTCTTCTGGTCCTCCTCGGCCTTCTTCGCGGCCTCGGCCTCCGCCTTCTTCTTGTCCTCCTCCGCCTTCTTGGCGGCCTCGGCCTTCAGCTTCTCCTCCTCTGCCTTCTTCGCGGCCTCCGCCTTCTTCTTCTCCTCGTCGGCCTTCTTCCTGGCGTACTCGGCCTGCAAGACCCCATCGTATGGCCCCCCATCTCGCGAAGAAGACGCTGGCACAGACCGACCTGTCGTAAGGGTTGAGGCATGAGTAGAGTCCAGGATTTAAGCTTAGTTCGTGCGGTGTTTGTGTTTGTCTCTCTCTCTCTCTCTCTCCCTCCCTCCCTCTCTCTCTCTCTCTCTCTCTCTCTCTCTCTCTCTCTCTCTCTCTCTCTCTCTCTCTCTGTCTGTCTCCCGCACCTCGAGTGCCGCGCTGCGTCCGCTCATGCGCAGACCAGTCCTGCCACTTCTTGTCCAGCCGCGTTCTTCGGTCGGGGCCCTGTCCTCCCGCCGACCACCTCTGCCATTGCTGGACGTGCGGCCACCCTGATCCTTCGCAGGCCCCTCCCACGCTTTTTTTTTGCCTTCCTCTCCTCCCCCCCCCGCTGGCTGGCAGTCTCCTCCCTGATTGCTCTGTCCTCCCTGGTTCCAGCTTCCCCCCCACTGTCCATCCTGCTGCTGGCTTTGTCCTCCCTGATCCCACTGTCCAGCAGCTGCATGACCTCCCTGTGGCGGCGGGTTGCCGCAGGCGCTTTGTGGGGGCCCTGCCACCCCTGCCACCCCTGCCAGCCTGGATGGCCTTGCCACCCATCCCTGACCCCGCATTCCTTGCTGGTGCCACCCTTGCTGCCATCCCGGGCCCCACCCATCCCACGCCGCTCCATCTTGCCCTGGCTGGTGATTTTGGCGACCCCATCCTCCGTCTTGCCACCAGTCACCTTAGCTCTGAGTATGCCCTACCCGAGGGATTGGCTGCTTTGTTGTAATAATGCCCTACCTCAGGGGTCTAGACAACATCATGACAATGGCTTCTAATTTGGCGGAGTCGCCGTCATCGCCATCGCCGTCTCCGCCATCGCCGCCTCCATCCTGCACAGCCTTTGCGCCGATGAGGAGTGCAAGGAGCAGCAACATGGCGCCCACACCCGCTCCGCACGCAGGTTTTATGGGGCGCACTTTCGCGTTGAGAGCTGAGTTAGTAGCTAGCAGTAGCTGCCTTGCCTAATTACTGCATTTATTCAGGGCTGCCTTGCCTGGCCTGGGGGGCATGATAGCACCTTGCACGGTTTAGGGTCCGGGGTTTAGGGCTTAGGGTTTAGGATTTCGGGTTAAGGGTTACTTACAAACGGAGCCCAGGCACCCTACATACGGTGGATGGAGGAAATCTTGCACCGCCTACGATAAACTTAACCCTTGGCGGCGGTTCACCAAGCCTGAAAATGATGCAACCCTAGGCCGGGGTGGCCGGGTCTTGGAAACTTGTTGGCTATACCGACTCCAGATCACACTGAGCACTCAGGGCTGCATGACACAGAGCTTTGTGCTAACCTACTAAATTAGTAAATGGGGTTCTCTAGGCTTGAATTGTCGGTTGGCGTTGCTTGGCTCAGGCTTGTCAGAGTCAACTAAATTTTGATGTGTGTTCTATGATGAAGTTCCCTGGCTTGTTTGTGTGGTTGACAAACCTGCGTTTTCTGATCATTTCAGTGCTCAAAGTGTAGGGTGTAGGGTTTAGGGTTTAGGGTTGAGGGTTTAGGGTTTAGGGCCCATTCAGTCCTCGGCGACCTGTGTTGGAGCAGAAACGGCGCCGCCAGTGGGAAACCTGGCTCAGGGTGGTTTTGGAGGGGGTCTAGCGTTTGGCCAGGGAATGAGGCACTTCTTCAGTGCCTACTAGTCATCCAGAGGCACTTCTTCAGTGCCTGCCTCATATCTACCCACAAATTGCCATCCGAGACAAGACCTGAAACAACCGTCCGCTGCACGTCTTCCCCTAGGCCAAGTACCTGCGCCCTTCGGCCAGAACTTGAAATAAACATAAAAACTCTAGGCTGATGGATACTGTTTGAGACTATTCTTGCTCTATCAATGCACACATGCAACAATTTAAAAGACCCTCTTTTATTCTAACTCAAAACACATTCAAGAAAAGCGCGGAGTAACCCGACCCTGAACCTCTAAGCCAGCTGAGCAGCTACATCAACAAAAATCCACCCACCCTGAGCTGTTCAACCCCAAGGCAGCACGCCCCCCCAGCATAGAGACCTAAAAGACGCTGGCGCTCCCGCGGCCAGCTCCGGCAGCAGGCCATGCCTGGGCCAGGCGAGATTCAGGTCCACTTGCTGCCAACTGAAATTATTCCTGATGCACACACTACACGCACTGACGCACTGCGCGCACTGTTTTTTTGCATCTCACACTCTCAGCCGCAGAGCCAACCCTACAACCTACAGCGCAGGCCAGCATGCGTTCTTTAAGTAGGAACTGAATTTGAATGAAGTAGGACATGGCCAGGCAATGTAACCCCCCAAGTAATGTGTAAATTCAACCGAGGTAACCCTAGACGGGTGTGTTTGCACAGCCCTTCCTGCGGCCCACTGCAGCTGCATGGTGTGAGACATGAACGGAAGACTTCCCGGCCGGCTTGAGATCTTGAAGCCAAGCTAGTCTTGGTGACTGATGCATTCTTTTGTTAACATCGCTCCTGAGCATGCCTCAATATCGCAATCAACTTGAACTTAGTCTTGGGGCGGTCTCACACATGTGTGCAGCACGCGTGGCTTCAAAGTTTTTGATTCACGGCCCAAAGTCTCTCTTCCCTGGTGGCAAAGTGGGAGAGAGGGAGAGAGGGAGAGAGGGAGAGAGGGAGAGAGAGAGAGGGAGAGAGGGAGAGAGGGAGAGAGGGAGAGAGGGAGAGAGGGAGAGAGGGCAGAGAGGGAGAGAGGGAGAGAGGGAGAGGGAAGCACTCATCGTACATATCAGACGAAATTTCGGCGAGTCCTCCAGCAAATCTGTACATGTCGCCGTAAGCCATGGTCCTCAGTGTCAGGCGGCAGCGGAAACGGGGTCTGCACAATCTGCACGTACTGGTTGTAGTGGCAATTGTACAGCTTTGTTGCGGAGGCACACCAGTCGTGAAGGGCCCTGCACATCCATGCCCTTTGGCTCGTGATTGATATCGTCGACTCGGACCCGTAGTCATCAAGCACGTGTGGAAACCGGGTGAGGATCGTCAGGCATTCTATTGCCCTGTGGGCCAGATCTGGGTTGCTTAAGGGTCCTCCCGCAACCACGTAGGTTGAGCAGCATCGCATCAAGCATAGCCTTGCAGTCTCATGAGCAATGCCGTGGAGGTCTTCGTAGCGTGGTTCCAGTTTGTGGAAGGCTTCATGAAGGTCAATCTTGACTTTCCGGCTTTCGCTGCGAAACTCGTCCAACATCTCCGCCAACTCCCCCTGTAAATTGGCCAGAAATGCCTCGATGTTGAACAGGCGGAGTCGCAAGTCTGCGGCAGGAGCCATGGGAGATCGCGAGCTGATAAAAGGGTCGAAACGAAAAGCTCGCAACAAAAATTGCTGCATTTGGTCGTCTATGTTCTCGTTTCAACCTGGAACCCACCAGAGAATGATAACCCGACCCTGAACCTCTAAGCCAGCTCAGCTACATCAAGAAAAATCCACCGACCCTGAGCTGTTTCAACCCCAAGGCAGCACGCCCCCCAGCATGGAGCCCTGAAAGACGCTGGGGCTCCCGCGGCCAGCTCCGGCAGCAGGCCATGCCTGGGCCAGGCTAGATTCAGGTCCACTTGCTGCCTAATGCCTTCATGATGCACGCACTGCACGCACTGACGCACTGCACGCACTGTTTTTTTGCATCTCACACTCTCAGCCGCAGAGCCAACTCTGCAACCTACAGCCCAGGCCAACTGTTCAAAGCAACGAACTGAATTTGAATGAAGTAGTAGGCATGGCCAGGCAATGTAACCCCCCAAGTAATGTGTTAATTCAACCGAGGTAACCCTAGACGGGTGTATTTCTACAGCCCTTCTTGCGGCCCACTGCAGCTGTAGAGTGTGAAACATGAACGGAAGACTTCCCGGCCGGATTCTGGCAAGCTTGAGATCTTGTCTTCCAGAGTTGGCAGATGTAAACTTATGGATTCCGGCCCAGGGCTTTGGAGTTGCTATCCATGACCCATGACAATGATCATCTCAAGCTGGCACTCAAACATCCCTGGGTCGCATCTCCGGAGGAAGAGATGCAATCAACTTCCCGTAACGCTCACGCCAGCGCTGGGTTTCCTCCTGTCAAAGAAAGAGACTTACATTTCAAGGATTAAGACTCCATCATGACGCACTCATCCATGTACGCATTTCATGTACGAATCCGTCCTGAGCCTGCTTCGCGGAGGTCTCGCAGCGGTCTTTTTCATCCCGGAGCTTGTCTCGAACATGCCTGCCAGTCTCCGCATTCTCCTTCAGCTTGTCCAGCTCCCCCTTGAGCGACCGCACCTCGGCTTCGTGCGCCTCCCGCATCTCCGTCTCGATCTTCTTCCTCATCTTCTGGGTCGCCTCAATGAAGAGCTTCTCCCCCCGCTCCTCTGTCTTGTCAATCTCCTCCCGGAGCTTGTTCTCGCTGGCGAACTTGTCCTGGCGCACCTTCTCGAGCTCTCCCCGCGCGCCGGCCAGCTCCTCGTTCAGCTTCTGCGCCTCAGCTGTCTTCTGCTCAGCGACGCCCTTCCAGTGGTTAATGAGCTCCTTGGATATTGATCGGACGCTGGCAGCGATCAGCAGCAACCCTAAACCCCGATACCCTAAACCCATAAGAAAACCCTAAATCAAGATGATGATGCTTCCCAGCCCAGTAGCTTGCTGGTTGTCGATGAGGCTAGCCTGGCGATCCATTGTTCCTTGGCGGTTGGCCACCCGCACTTCGCGGGATGGGCCGTGAGCTGAGCTCCTGCAGTCTTCACTGACAATTGAGCATTAAAACACTTAACATGACTTGACCAATCTTAACCATGTCATGTGCTTGCGGTTGCGTGGGCTCCTGGATCTGTGCCTCCCTGCTCCCTGCTCGGCGTTGCCACTCCCGGAACTCTGGTCTCCTGAAGGATGACAAGGCTTGCATTTCATAACTATTATTATCTTTCTTGTGCACAATGCAGGACCTCAGCCGCTCCTCGCACAGCCGCTCCTCCCACACCAGATTGCCCACCTCCCCGGCCACCGCCACGATCTGCACGGCCACGGTCTGCCCGGCCACGATTTGAAAGGCCGCCACCACGCTGCGGTATCATGTCTCCAGACTACACCATCCACAGCAGGGATTCTTGATTCTAGATTCAGTGACAGTATGTGACGGTGAAAGTGTGACTAGGTTGTTAATTCCTGGTCTGGCTGGTTTGCATGGGAAGTGCTGCGCAATCAAAGGTAGTGTCGAATGAGCACTTTGGACTCTTAAACTACAACTGCCGGTATACCGGACTGGTATATGGTAAAACGGACTGGGGGTTTTTAGGTGTAGTTCTTTAGGGAGTTTGAGAATTGGATAGTATGGGTGGGAGCATTCTTTTGCTACGCAACCTTCGATGGGTTGCGGTGGGCTCAGGCCCACTTTTCCCAATTTGAATCTCGAGCCGAGACAGGGCGGTTCATGCAATGTTGCAAGTTCAAGCCCAGCAGATGATGCTGCTGCTGCTGCTGCACGGCATGCGTCAAGCAGGCAACTACGCTCCAGCCAGTCTAACGCAACAGTGGCCCAAGGTTCTGACAGACATCTCCGGATGGCAGACGCGCAGCAGCCGTGGCGAGGCCGGTGGGAAGCCTGTCGGGTATCGTACGCCAGCTTAAGGTTTAGGGAGTAGGCACTTGTGCAGTGCCTTCACATGAGTCCGAAGGAGTCTGAGGGGGCCCCTATTCAGGCCTAAACCCCTAAAACCTTTCTCCCCCATGTACCCTATCGTTATTTTCCCCTTATGTCTCCTTGTACACCCTACATGCATGGAGTATACCCTAAGACCTACAGAAACCCTAACACCGTGGGGCCAGCTGCGTTTGGGGCATAGCAGGGTGGATTTTCGTAGTGTTTATAACAGGGTCTTAAGGGGTTGCTTGGTGCATCTTTCCCTCTGTAGAGCTAATGGCTTGAGGGATTCCATGGTTGGGCTTTGGGAAGTTTTCGCACGGCTGGTTGGGGTTGCTTGAAGTTTCAGGGTTTGGTCTGGATGTTCGGGTTGCGGTCTCACTCTGGGCTCCCCGGCATAGTATTTGGGACATGGGGGTTCGTAATAGGATCCTGAACAGACTAGGGCCCTACCCTGAGGGTTTAGATTTGCTTTATGGGTTTATGGGTTTAGGGTTTAGATTGTGTCAATTTAGGTTACCAATCGGCTGGCCTAGCGGGCCTAGTAGCGTAGTAGTTATTGGTCCAACTTCGGTTTAGGGATGCCGCGTGTATCTGGGTTAAGGGTTTCGTGGTTTAGGGGCACTTCTGCAGCGCCCACAACTTAAGGCACTTCTGCAGTGCCTCCAAGACAGACCACGTCCACCAACCCCCCCCCTCCCCCGTCCCGCCCGAACATCAGCATGATGACCCATGGGCCCTAGCTCAGTAGATCAATTCTTCACGTCTACCATTATCTCGTAACAACCTCCACCTCCCCCCACCTTCCCCACGCCCCACTCCGCACCCTGAAACGCGATTTGGAAGGATGTTTGTTACTGCAACGACTTGTGCCCTTGCCTTGCACGATGATCAAACATGTCTATGGTTAGTGTAATAACAGAGTGCAATCATTTTATACTGTTACTTTTGCTGCAGTCACGGATCCGGGGCCCGGATCCGGGTTCCAGGAAAACATGTAATAAGAAGCAAAGTTGATATACACAGCTCTATGTTTTAATTTTTCACACTTGAGTACAATGACAACAAGAAAGATACATCGATTTGCTTATGCATTTACTAAACAACAAAAGATAAAATACTTAGGTATTTATTTGCTGCCTATTTTTATTATTTAAATACTATTAATAATGATAATAATAATAATAATAATTAATCGTTTCAACCAGATTCAGGGACCCGGGTCCCGGATCCGGGTCCCGGATCCGGGTCCCGGATCCGGGTCCCGGATCCGGGTCCCGGCTCCGGGTCCCGGATCCGGGTCCCGTCAAAGGGAGTGGGTCGTGTTGGGGGGGGGGGGGGGGGGGGGGGGGGGTGGGGGGGGGGTGGGGGGGGGCGGGGGGGGGGGGGGGGGGGAAGGGGGGTGGGGGGATGGGGGAAAAGCAGGTCTAGCACTTCTGCAGTGCTGAAACCTGAGGCACTTATGCAGTGCCTGGGAGGTCAGGGGCACTTTTGCAGTGCTCTAACAATACCTTCCCAAGCACACCAAACGACCCTAATCTCCCCAAACTAGATCCTAGTCTTTCCGGGTAGGGGAGGGGGGAAAAGCAGGTCCAGCACTTCTGCAGTGCTCTGAACAATACCTTCCCAAGTACCCCAAACGACCCTCATCCCCCCAAGCTAGATCCTAGTCTTTCCCGGCCGTAAGCTAAACCCTGTACCCTGATAACAATTCAATCAGTTTAGAACCTGTACTATGTGTCTCTGAGCACCAAACCACAAACCCTCAACCAAGTGTTAACTTAAACCCTCCCAGGCCTGCACCACGGGAAGCCGGCGCCGGCGCAGATAGTAATGCAGACAAAGAGCGCGAGTGAGAGAGAGAGAGAGAGAGGAGGGAAAGGTAGAGGGAGAGAGAGAGAGAGAGAATATATGTAGATGTGTATCTACATATATATATATATTTATGTATTTATTTATTTATGTATTTATAGTTATATATTCATATATTCATATATTTATGTACTAATATATTAATATATTAATGTATTTATACATGTATATATATATATACATATTTATATATTTATATTTAATGTATATATATATATGTATTTATATATTTATATATGTATATATTTATATATTTATACATTTATATATTTATATGATTATATATTTATATGATTATATATGTATTTATATGATTATATATTTATATGATTATATATATATATATATATTATATTATATTATATGTTTGCATGTGTATGTACATCTATCTATATATGTCTGACCGAATCCCGAGACTTGTATATGTGTTTGCCGTGTGTATATATCTATGTATATAAATATAATGGAATAAACCATACTATGATATATATGTAGTATATAGATAATAATAATATTATTATTGATATTATCTTATTGCATTACAATTTTATATTATATTTTAATATTATAATATAAACTATATGCAGTAACCGTGTATATGTTCATGTTTGTAAGTTAGTTTTTTGTAGTGGAATAGTACCAGTAGATCTCCTTTCGCAAATCCCAAGAAAATTTTAAAAGGTCCCAAAGCACAGCCCAGTAATTTAAGTTGGAAAGGGACTTACCACCGAGGCTTGCTGCGCTCCTCTAGCCGTTTCTATGTGCCAATGTAATAATGACCCCACGTGATCGCACCCCCTTTTATTATCCCTATTGGGGACTGTTGTTAGTATAAGGGGGAACATCCCAACCCTAAAGCCTAAACTCTAAACCCAAAATTGCCTCCAAACCCTAAACCGTACCTACCTTCTCACTGCCTTCTGATCCCTACACCCTAAGCCTTCTGATCCCTACACCCTAAACCCTAAACCCTCAGCCCTAAACCCTCATTGGAATAATATGTACAGACTCGAACCCCCACACCCTATAAACCCTAAGCCCCCTAAAAGCTTCCTGGACAGCTGTTCAAGAGTAGAAGGGGAACATCCCAAACCCTAAGCCCTAAACCCTAAACCCTAAACCCTAAACCCTAAACCCTAAAAACAAAACCCTAGTCTAAGGCGGGAACATCCCATGGCCTCTGTCCAGTGTGCCGTCCAGCTGAAGCGAGTGCTGCAGGAAACTGGAAGAGGCAGCGTTCGTTGATGGCCCTACCTGGGGGGGCGACACTGGCTTGAGGCTTAGGGTTGGGGGGGGTTAGGGTTTAGGGGGGTTTTAGGGGTTTAGGGGTTGGGGTTTAGGGGTTCAGGGTTTAGGGGTTTTAGGGGTTTTAGGGGTTTTAGGGGTTTTAGGGGGGCTTTGGGGGTTTAAGGGTATTTGGTTGCGGGGAGAATCTTTTTGGTTGCTGCAGTGTTTGGGACCCTCCAGTGAATGGACCCTGGGATGAGGACTGCAGGGTTACCCAAAGCCTGCTTTAGGGTTTAGGGTTTAGGATTTAGGGAACCTGCCATTTGCATAAGACCCCCCCCAAAAAAAAAGTAATTAGCAGATTCTTTCTTCTAAGGGCAATATGGGGATTATCATTTCTATTTTTTGGGGGTTCTGAAGCTACATGTAGCAACAAATAGCACAGACAGAAAATCAATCCAGCACTACTGGGGTGGATTGGGGGCGGGAGGGGGGTGAAGAGGGGGGGGCGGGGGAGGGGGGTGAAGTGGAAGAAGCTCTGGAGCTGTCTTAGGGACCCCTATATAATTAAACCTCTGCCTCAGATTCTATGTAGTCCGATTCATGGTGCAAACAAAAAAGATGACAAAACGATTTTTTTACGTGAGCCAACATCACCCATCGACATGGAAACCCGAAACCCTAAACCCGAAATCCGAAACCCTAAGCCGTTGCCAGTTCTGATCGCGCGGCCGCTTCATCGCAGACGCTGCCCAGAACCAGTGGTGGCAGAAGAAGGATCGGAGCGAGCCATGACATGGAGGCAAGGTTGCGGTTCGGAACCTTGTGTCGTTTGAGCCTACACGACTTCAGCAACAGAGCCTGAACCCTACAAAATAGAACGGGAGGCCTTCAAGCCTCTAACCCATGGAGCCTATGACCCTATGACCCTGTGACAACCCTAAACCCTGAACCCTGAAGCCTGGTTTAGGGTCGCCCAGCTTCCGTGTGGGTGCCTGCGCTCCTTGTACCCCTACGGCCCTACGTACACTCTTGAACCTCTGAATCCTGAACCCCTTTTGAACCCTAGAACCTGAACCCTAAACCCTAAACCCGAAATCCTAAACCCTAAACCCTAAATCCAGACGAACTCTCATAAAACCACCGCCATCTGCTCTCTTGCAGACAAGAGTGGCCCTCCAAAAGTTGGCGTTCCTGGGCTGAAGGTTTCGGGTGGAAAGCTTAGGGAATTCTCTGGGTGCAGGGCTAAACGGGAATCAGAATACAGGATCCCAATGAAATATTGTGGAAATCTTCCTTTTTGATGGATATTCGAGTCAAAGGGTCCCTAGCCCAGACCCCACCGCCGAGAACTTGAAGCCCCATCAACTCTGAACGTTAAACCTAAACCCAAGCCCAAACCCCAAATCAAAAAACCCTAACGCCCCAAACCCTAAAACCCTAAAC